ATCGATCCTGTGATCCTATCCACTCGCAAAATATAACCATCCTGTGTGACAACTTCATAACTTTTGGCCTCGTATCCCGCTTTCTGCGCAATCTCTGTCTGTAAAATGCTCACACTTATTTCGTTGTAAATGGAAGTTATATTTACAGTTTCACGCGTTACTTGTACATCACTTTGGTTGTCCGAAAATTATAATATAAAACTATACAAATGCGATGATAGACAAATTAAATTAATTAGAAAATTAAGTTTGTTATACAAGATGTTTATATTACAAATTCTATATAAATAATGTTTTGCACACGCAATTTTTGTCTAAAAAATTATAAAACATGCTTGCGAATAGTCAGAAAATGATAACTGATCAAATTACCAATAAAATTTACTTACTGCAGTTATAACTTCTTCGTCACATTGCCCTCTAGTAAAGAATACCCCTATGATTACTGGCACCATGCAACACAAAATTATTTTTTTGGACATTGTCGTAGATGATTCGTGACCCCTTGGCCTATGATTTAACTCGGAAGAAGCCGTGCCCAAGCGATGCGCCCGAATGGTCGGGAAAGGAGCCGAGTGTCGAAATTTGAATATCTTACGACTATCTACGAATATATTACGAATATCTTACGAACGGGATTGCCGCACCCGTGTTTACTTCACGCGATGGTGCTCTTGTGTAATTTAAATGAATTTATTTATTTAGCTTTTAGATGTTATCTGTACCACTAAAATCCTAGGTAACACGTGGTCTGCATTGGGATACAAAATCCCATTCGAGACATTCATATTTGGCCCGAGATTAAGACCATGAGTTCGACTCGTGATAATTATGTTTGTCCCGAAATGTCGATTACGTGTCAGATTCGTGATATTCACGTTTGACATGAAATTAGACAACGAGCCTCACTCGTGATATTCAAGTTTGGCCTAAAATTTTCATCACGAGTCAGACTCGTCAAAATAGGGCAAGGGGGTAACTACGAGTTATCCTTATATTGTTTTATATGAACTTATCGCACAAATGACAATGATAACCTACTCAAGTAAAGGAATATTACACGTATTTTCTCTTATCCTTCGTATGATAATACAATTCGAAAATTCAAAAAAAATTACGTTTAAAACCAATGTTTTTTCGACAAATAACTATTAATATTTTCTCTATAGGAACTTGTAAAACAAATCGATGCCTTAGAAAAATTGTTTGACGTCCTTAAGAAAATCAATTTGACCGTGTAATATATTCCAGTCAGAA